AGGTATGCCCTAGTGTAGTCAGGGAGCTGGGGATGGACCCAATGTGGCTGGAGCACACCTTTGTGCCAACCTAATATCGTGGGCCTCACTGCAGACCTTGAACCTTTCACTGTTGAGCCGTGGTGCCCCGAGCCATTAGACATGGGAACCTCTGAACTGTGGGGTGGTCACAGAGCCTCCCTCTGTGCAGGGGTGTCCCATCTGCTGCCCTACTTCTACCTCCTCTACTTCACCGCACTGCTGGTGCACCGTGAGGCCCGGGATGAGCGGCAGTGTCTGCAGAAGTATGGCCTGGCCTGGCATGAATACTGCCGGCGTGTGCCTTACCGCATCGTGCCCTATGTCTACTGAAGCAGTTTCACTGCCCCAAGAGGGGCATGTGCCCACCCACCCACCAGCACACCCAGGACCAGGAGCCCGGACACACTGGGGACTCAAGGGCCTGCACCCTATTCAGCCTTCAACTCCAGCAGGCAGGGATGAATGGCCTCAGAGAAGAGGTGGTTTGGGGCAAGGGGAAAATGAAGTCAGTGCCCCCAAATGGAAATGCTCTTCCTCCTTTGGGTAAACATCTGGAAACTTTCGTGCATTTCTCTCCCATTCTGGGGCCGGAGTGTTTATGACTGGCTGGGTCAGCACTGGTCAGGGAGAAGCTGGGAGGCGGTTTGTGGGCCCAAGAGTCTGGGGTCAGCTGGGACAACAGCTATCACTCAGAAATGGTCACTGATTGCTTGAGCCCAGGAGTTTGAGGTTGCAGTGAGCTGTGATCATGCCACTGCACTCCAGCCTGGGCAATACAGTGAGACCCAATCTCTTAAAAAAAAAAATAAAGAAATGGGCACTGCCAACAGGGCAGACCAGTCACAGCTTTATTGAAGACAAGGGTCCCCAGTTTAGCCAGGGAGCTCCTCAATGAGAGTCCTTGGGGCAGGTGGCATGGGGCCTCCCCACAGCCGCTCCAGCTCCCCAGTGAGGGCTGCCACCTCCTCGGCTGCCACAGCATGGGCTCTGTGGGCCCTGGCGCAGTCTAGAGCCAGGGGTGTGAGGGCTGCCTCATTTTCGTTGGTCCAGGCCAGAAGGAATTGGCACTTCTTCCGGGCTCGGTAGAGGCGATCTCGCTCTTCCCTATCCACGGCCTGTTTCTGGGCCCGGCCCAGGGTCTGCACCAGGTGCCCCAGCGCTGCCAACGTGTAGCCTTTTTGGTTGGCTGGGCCCTCGCCCTGCAAGATGCGGGCAGCCTCGAGCATAGCACCGCGCATACCCAGGGGTCCAGGGGGGTGCTCGCCCGCTTCCAGCACGTGGGCTGCGGCCTCCAGGGCTTCCTCCGCACAGGCGAAGACTTGCTGGGCGCCCAGGGCTCCGGAAACGCCCAGCAGCGAGGCACAGAACTCAGACAGCAGCGCGTCGTCACCGCCATGGTAGAGGGCCAGAGTGTGCGCGTACGCGAACAGCACGTTGGGCAACTGGAAACGCACGAGTGGGGAGAGTGGGCCACGGCTCAGGCTGGCCAGCGCGGGGATGCGGGTGGGCACGGCGGGCGTGCAGGGCCCCGGGGCGTCTCCAAGAACTCGCTCGGCGGCCGCGGGCTCTGCGGCGGCATCATCCTTCACCGATTCCGGCGGGGTCCTCGCAGGGGCGGGCTCCCGTTCCCCGGCGTCACTGCGCGAGGCATCATCCACCTCCTCCAGAAGCCGCGGTCCAGTCCTGCGGCCCCACCACCACGGCCGCCACGGAGGCAACAACCGCCCGGCCTCGCCGCGGCTCAGCAGCCGCTCGAAAGCCGCCTTCTCGGCCGGCGCCAGCCGCTCCCAGAGTCCTGAAAGGCCGCCGGGGGCCGGGCCGGGGCTGAAGCCTGCCTCCGCGGGATCGTCCTCGGTCTCGCGTTGCTGGCGCAGCCGGCGCAGGGCGCTTGCCAGGCGGCTGGGCGAGGCGCTGCGGCCGCGGAGCTCTCCCAGTACCTGGTCTCGGTAGAAGTCTTCGGCGCAGGTGCCATGCGCCCGGTAGCAGCGCAGCGAGCAGTAGGGCACGTTACAGCGAGGGCAGGTGTAACGCGCCGGCTGGGCCTCCCCTGCCGGGCAGAAACCACAGGCCCCGGCCGGCTCCATGGCAACCGCGCTGCGCGCTACCCGCGATCGCACACCGCTCTAGTCCAGCTTCCGGCGCTGCTTCGGTACTTCCGCCTCTTTGAGGGGCCGACGGTGCACTCAAGTTAGGCAAAGCTTCCGAGGTTCCGCGGCCATGCGCGCCCACCCCTCATTCCCAAGTAGCGCTTGGGCAGGCGCAGAAGCCGGTCGTCACGTACAAGCCCCGCCCTACACGATGACGCAGCGAGATCAGGAAAAAAAAAAAAGCTCCCGCGAGCCCTCCGCCGGTGCCAGCTCGCCCCCTAGTGGTCGCACCAAAACGTGGCCCCAGATTGCCTAAATAAAACAACTTCCGTTTTAGCACTATGATGCGCCGGTGGCAGAAACCAGTCTGCTAAGCATCTTCTCTGGGCTACTAATTGCGCCAGGCCTGTGGAAGAGGAGGTGGGACCCTGCGTGAAGGAGCCGCTATTTCATGGGGTCATAGACAAAGGAGCAGTTAGAGTGCAACAAAGATCAAGATGGGGGCACCTAGCCTACCCTGGGTGGTGTTGGGGGCATTTCCCCTCTTCTGCAAGGAGCAATACTTAAGAAAGATCTGAGCTCCTATTTGATTTCCTCCTCCAAACTGGTCTCTTCATTAAATATCTACCTTCTCATTAAGTATCACCACCATTCATCCAATTTATGTTTTTTTTTTTTTTTTTTTTGAGACAGAGTCTTGCTTTGTTGCCCTGGCTAGAGTGCCGTGGTGTCAGCCTAGCTCACAGCAACCTCAAACTCCTGGGCTCAAGCGATCCTCCTGCCTCAGCCTCCCGAGTAGCTGGGACTACAGGCATGCACCACCATGCCCGGCTAATTTTTTCTATATATATGTATTTTTAGTTGTCCAGATCATTTCTATTTTTTGGTAGAGACAGGGTCTCGCTCTTGCTCAGGCTGGTCTCGAACTTCTGACCTTGAGCGATCCACCCGCCTCGGCCTCCCAGAGTGCTAGGATTACAGGCGTGACCCACCGCGCCCGGCCGCCAATTTGTTTTAATTCCGCAATTCCATTTCTGGGATTCTGTTCTAAGAAAATAATCCCAAGTATGAGGGGAAAAAAGTCTTATCAAAAAATTGTTCATCTGTGTGTTGTTTATAGGCTGAAACTAGAGTTAGTGACCTTCCCCCGCCACCCCCACTTTCATCCAGTGGTGAGGTAAGGCCTAGAACTCTGGCCCAAGCCAACATCCATAAACCCAGAACTAACTGGGAAGATGCAGACATGGCTAGGAAGAAGCAAAGAAGAAAGGCGAATTTAAGTCCCAATTCCTGGCAAGGCAGGCTTCTGAGAAGAAAAAGTTCAAGATGTCAAGTACATCTGGGTTGAGCAGAGCAAGAAAGCCAAAATGAAGCTTGACCCCTGAGATCAGAACCTTCCAGGAAACATTCCATAACGTGGATCCTGTCATCAAACTTACTAGGTGTGTAGATTCCATACTAGGTGCCAAGAACACAATGAGGATCAAAAAGAGATGAGGTCCCTAGCCTAGCAGAGCTTAGTCTTGTGGTACTGTAGGGGTGATGAAGCAAACTGTGCTAAGCTAGGTGCAGTCTTGATCCACGGCACCCTTGGAAGTAAGCCCTGGTCCTTGGTTCCTCTCCCCTCACATGCAATCCTACACCGTCTGCCTCCAAAATACCATGTTATTTGTTTTGATATGGATACTACTTCCCTACCAAGATTTGGATGTACCTGAAGATTTTCTTTGCATCTCTACTACTACTGGTGGTCTAAGCTACCTGCCCACTGACCTGGATGACACCTTAAGTGGTTTTCCTAACTTTCCTGCCAGCCCTCCAGAAAGACCTACCAGAGAAATTGACATCACAGTCAGATCACACCAGTCTCTTGCTCAAAACCCTGTGACCCTCCACTGTACTTGGACCCAAACCCAAACTCCTCCATGGCTGACAAGGCCCTTGTAGGATCTGCTACCCACCCCCAGACATCACCTCTGCCCTTGCAGTCCTCTTGGTGGAACTCTTTCCCTAGCTCATCATTTGATCAGCTCATTTCAGGTCTCTCACATCTCATCTTCAGAGGTCTTCTCTGGGGACACTCTTCAGTGTGTCTGTCTACACCCCGCCTGCACTTTCATCACAGCACCTTTTCTTTCTTTCAGGCCCTAACACTTGTAACTGTTTCCTCACTTTCCACCACAAAAATCTAAACTACTAGAAGGCAGAAGCCATGTCTTTTTTTTTTTTAAACACAGGAGTTAAAAATAGCCAATATTTGCACACTTACTATGAGGCCGGTGCTGATCTAAGCATTTTATATCCTTTGCAATAGGGAACCTTGAATTGGCCCCAGAAGAACTCCACTTTTGTAAACACCAAAACAAACATCAACTATCCAATCACAGGTGTGATTACATAAGCAAGGCCAGCCAGGCAATCGCAAAGGTACAAACATGGTCACGGTCACTATGGTGCCAATGCAAAGGCAAAATCGATTTCTAAAGCTGAGGCAGACCAGGTTCCTGTCCTGGACTCTACCAAGATCACAGCTGGTCCAACATTCAGGAAAAGGCCAGATTTATCTTCTACCCAAACCCTTTCCCTCCCTCCTTTCTATTGCTATCTCTGTAACAAACCTCCCATCACAATGATTCCTGCTACCTTCTGTTTAGAAGATGAAAAAGAAGGACTTGGGGGTAATTATCAGGAATTTGCCCAACTCTGCATCTGAAGGGCTGGCATCTGGTGTTATCCCTTCTTCACAGGAAGCCTTCTCTTGTAGTTTACCACTTTACCCCAGACAAAGGGCCTCGGCCTTATCTGTCTCACCATTCTTCCGGCGGACACGTGAACAGCCCTAGAAGCCATGACTCTCCCTGCGGCCCTGCAAATGAAGATGAAACAGTGAAATGACTGGGCTAAGTGGCTTTTTATTAGAGAAAGCCAGGATTACAACAAACTTAAGAGTTGGCATTGGGGCCCTTCTTCTTGCCAAAGGTGGGCACAACATTGACAAAGCGCCGATTGTACTGCATCCGCCGCTTGGCCCGGCCTGTCTTCTTCTTCTTCTTCTCCTGTTTGGCCACCTGGGAAAAAGGAGGGCTAATCAGACTCCGGTTGACCTCTTCCATGCCTAGCATCCCTTCCCTCAGGTTTATCTCTAGGGAGGGAAAAGGCAGATTGGGCAAAAGTCCAGGGTCTCCACTTAGCTGTGATAGGAAAAAAACAAAGTCCAAACAACACACTAATACTCTCACTCACCTTAGGAGTCTGACCTCTCACTTTCCCAGCACGTGCCAGGGAACCATGGACTTTACCTGTGGTTGGAAAGGAGAACAGCAGCAGGTAAGAGAGCAAGAAGGCACCACCCAACAGAATCCCTCCTCCTTCAACTCAAGCCTTTAAAGACAAGCTGGGCCCAACAGGTAGTGAGAACAAAGTTGCAGAAATTGGCCTCTGACCAAGTTTCACTTCAGGATTTTCCAGACTTTAAAGAAGAATTGAACATCACCTTAGGAATCCAGTCTGACCTCCCGATTTTTTAGTGAAGCAAATGAAAGCCACGTAAGGATCTGGTAAGTGGCTGAAATATAAATATAACTGTCTGGATCAGTCTCCCATGGACCTCTTAAGAGTTCCTTCAGAGGGCGGTAAACATGAAGAATTACCCTGAATGGAGGACACTGGAAATCACTAACTGTACTGCCACAGAAATGACACTAAGCTGCCAGGACCACGCACCCCATATCCATTAGGAGCTTATACACAGTTCAAACAACATTCCTCCCCCACTTACCTCCAAGCATGCGGCCGGCTACTTCCAGAGTTGTCAGGGCCTCCACCCCACACTGGCCTAGGGTAGCCTCATCCTCCAGGGGCGTGCCTGCCAGGAGCACGACTTGATCTTCCGGGGCGATGCCCTCTAGTGAGGCTACATGAGCCTACAAGGAAAAATAAGATTCAGAAGCGTTCTCGAGCGGCTCGACGATGAAAAGCAAAAGAGGTGGAGTCCAAGGAGCACCAAGTAATCTTACCTTGATCTGGGCGACCGTCTCCTGGCCGGTCACCTCGAGGGTGTGTAGCTCCCGGGCGCGGACAAAGAGCTGCATGTTGGCGACTGAAGAAATAAAGGCGGCTTGTAAGAGAAGAGAAGAAACGCTCTGTTAGAAAGAGGGCCAGGGAATGGAAAGCAGCCCAGAGGGATCGCGCCGGGATGGAAGTGGTTGCGGTGGCTCACGTGTGGAAGGCCGGGTCTGCCAGGGAGCTCGGATCGTGACTGGCCCAGGGCCACAGAGCAACCCCCGTCCCTCGATTTCCCCCGCGCCCTCTGACCTCGCGGGCAAGCTGCAACTAAGCCCTCCGAATTTAGCCCAAGCCTTACCTGAAGCACAGCCCCCGCGGCCGCTACCACGAAGATGGAGTCGAGAAAGAGGAAGGAGCGAGGACGCGCACGTCCTCCCCGCCGGCTGCGTGCCACGTCACTGCTGAGCGACCGCACGGGCTTCTAATTTTTGTGTCGCCCAAGGCGGTCCTAGCTCCGCCTCCTGGCGCTCTGCGCAGGCGTTATTCCGTCCCAGGCAGCGCACCCAATACAGGGGGCGGGAAACCAGGCCGGTTGCGCGCGCAGTAGGCCAGCGTAGGCCGGGCATTCCAAGATGGCAGCTACCATGTTGCGGGTTACCTTGCGCAGCTGGCTACCCAGCGTCCACCGGGGTTGCGGGCTACGGCTGCTGGTGAGAGTTCTGAGCTTGGATCTGAGGGCAGCGGGCTGGGTGTGAGGCTCGCTGTTATTCTTTGTCACTCTGAAAATCTCATGCCTAGTTGGGGCCTTAGTTTTCCCTTCTAATCGGGGTCACTGTTCTCGAGTGTAGATACAAGACTGATAGAGAAAGTGGCAGAGACTGGAGTGCGCTTTGGGAGCAGTGTGGTGGTTGGAATTTGGCTGCAGGACAGCTCAGGTTAGTCAGGATTCAGAGGAGCTGCACATCGACTCTCGCTGCCTAATTTTTACAAGGGGAAACCGTTCCACAGGATGGGGGCCCGTCCCAGATCATTGGCGACACGTTTGGGAACCCAGAGCTCCTGATATGCAAGCCACTTCATTCTGTTTCCCTGCTCTCCTTGGTAACCCTGACCCTATCAGAACTCCAGAGTGCCTGTTGGGAGAAGTGTCCAAAGAGGATCTTTAGGGTGGAGAATGGGAGGACAGACTCGAGTGTGACCTTGAATAGATAGTTTATAATTTTCTTTTCTTTTTTTCTTTCTTTTTCTCTCTCTTTCTTTCTCTCTCTTTCTTTCCCTTCCTTTTCTTTTCTCCCCTCCCTTCCCCTTTCTTGAGACAGTCTAGTTCTGTCGCCCCTGCTACAGTGTAGTGGCATCATGATAGCTCATTGCAACCTCAAACTCCTGGGCTCAAGCGATTTAGTCCTGCCTCAGCCTCTCGAGTAGTTGGGACTTACAGGCGTGTGCCACCACACTCAGCTGTGTAATTATTTCTTAATGTCAACCTTTTTTGGGTGTAATAAAATACCTAATCTGTCACATTATAAGAATTAAGTGAAAACAATGCCCATAAAGCACTTAGTACAGTGCCTGGCAGTGTCTACATGAGACTAAAACTTTCTAGATAAGGGGAGGGGTGCTATCATGTGAGTGTGAGTGGGGAATTATCATGTTTGCTTCAAGTGCCTAATCCAGAAGTAGAATGTTTCAACAGAATGTTCAGAGGAAACTTAAATATTGACAGAAGCCATATTGGTTGTTCTTATGGTTGATCAGCTTTTTGGAAATATACTCATACTTGTCATTTGAGTCCAACAGAAATCCTAAGAGAGGCAGGCTGTTCTGTGCACCTGAGCTTCTCTTCAAGTCCCACCTGCACTCTGCACCCTGGAAAACTGAAGTCTAGTGCTTTCCTATGTCAAGCTAAATAACAAGCACTGACTCTTTAAAAGGAAATGATATTTATTTGGTAATGGGCATAAGCTAAGTGTATATTCAGGGAGGTAAAGGAAGACAAAAGCTTTTAAAGGAAACATGAGGATTACATAATTGTTTTGAGATAATTATTCTTGACTACAAGGATCAATAACAAGAGTGGCACCAGTCCAAGGTTGGACAGGCAGTTGCTGGGCAGATATCCTCAAAGAAGTGTTTTTTTGTGTGCAGTCGCTGTGACCTTTGTGCAAGGTTGTGGTTTTTGCAGTCTTTTGTGACAGTTCTCATTATCAGGCATTTGTGTGTGAGAACCCTCTCTTCATGGCCTTCCCCGGCTCTATTTTTCAATATTTTTAACCCAAGTGACTCCATTTTAATTCTGAAAACTTTCACACCTACCTCCAGCCTTTTATTTACACCATTTTCTCTGCCTGTAATGTTTCCTTTCTCTTCTTCTTTTTTTTTTGAGACAAAGTCTCACTCTGTTGCCCTGACTAGAGTGAGTGCCGTGGCATTAGCCTAGCTCACAGCAACCTCAAATTCCTGGACTCAAGCGATCCTCCTGCCTCAGCCTCCCGAGTAGCTAGGACTACAGGCATGCGCCACCATGCCCGGCTAATTTTTTCTATATATTTTTAGTTGTCCAGATAATTTCTTTCTATTTTTTTTTAGTAGAGACGGGGGTCTCGCTCTTGCTCAGGCTGGTCTCGAACTCCTGAGCTCCAAGGATCCACCTGCCTCGGCCTCCCGTAGTGCTAGGATTACAGGCGTGAGCCACCGCGCCCAGCCTCCTTTCTCTTCTTACTGAAGTTCTGCCTATCCTGTGTTGGGTGAGCTGTTGGAGACAAGGGTTTTTTTGTTTGTTTTGCCTCAGAGCCAGACCCAGGGGCCTCCAGATTACCCCAGCTTTGTGGAGTCCGTGGATGAATACCAGTTTGTGGAGCGCCTGTTACCCCCCACCAGCATCCCCAAACCCCCAAAGCATGAACATTATCCCACCCCCAGTGGCTGGCAGCCTCCCAGAGGTGAGCTGGGTGATGGGGATGATCTGAAGGCTTCAGGGAAGCATTCTCCCCCACAGTGGTCAGCCTGCCCTAGCTGAGGTTCTGGATTCCCCAGTGGGTCAGGACTCATATTGAGGTACACCCAAGGAAGGGCCCAGGGAGTGGAGCCCTCTGATTCACTGGTACCCATCCATCCACACTATTGGGATGGGGTCTCTCCATACGGGGAAAAGTAAAGCACAGAGAGAAAACCCAAGAGCTCAGATATCCCTTCTCCCCCTAGCAGACTATGTTCCATAACTGAGAACACAGCTTGGGAGTCAGGGACTTCTGGGTTTGAATTGGGCTCTGCTATTGACTGCTGATATGATTTTTAGTTAATCACTTAGCTTCTCCCAACCTCGGTTTCGGCAAAACGAAGGTAATCTGTTCAGCACATAAAGCCCTTAGTGCAGAGCCCAACATATGGTAGATGTTCAGTGCTTGTAAATCTCAACCCCTTTGTTCCAGAGATTGATTTCAGCCTCCCTGACCCAGTGGAGAAGGGCAAGGATTGGCCCCATAAGGGGAACCTTGAGGTACCAGGGCAAATAATTTGGTCCTGACTCTAAACTGAGGGGAAGAGATCCTCCGACCTGAAGTCTGAAGGTGGCTTCGTCCAGTTGGGTGCGCTGACCCTCTGCAGACTCTGTGAGGGGAAGGGCTTTGGCTCAGGTGGGGTGAGGCCTAGGAAGAGTTGGCTTATCACTCTCCCTCCTTGTCACAGACCCACCACCCAACCTGCCCTACTTTGTGCGGCGCTCTCGGATGCATAACATCCCTGTCTACAAGGACATCACACACGGCAACCGCCTGATGACTGTGATCCGGAAGGTGGAGGGGGACATCTGGGTAAGCGGGTGGGTGGGTTGGGGTCTGGTCCTGCCTCTTTGAGGGCTGTAGGGATGGGAGTCCTCTAGAGGGGAGGGACTCTTGGCCAGGCCTGATTTGTCTTCTTCCTCCAGGCCCTGCAGAAAGATGTAGAAGAGTTTCTGAGCCCACTGCTGGGGAAGACACCCATCACACAGGTCAATGAGGTGACAGGTACCCTGCGGATTAAGGGCTACTTTGACCAGCAGCTGAAAGCCTGGCTCCTGGAGAAGGGCTTCTGAGGCCCAGCTGAGCAGCTTGCATGATAGCGTCACAACAGACTATAGTCCGGGGGACCTCAAGAGGAGGGATGTGGGTGTTGGAGCCCCTGGGACAGGGATACAGAGAGGGCTAAGGGCTTGGGCAGTGCAGAGTGCCAGGCCTTTCTTGCATAAAGGAGAAATGGGACTCTACGCACAGGTGTCAGCGCTGGGGGAGAGCTACCTAACACTGGAGACCAACCAGGAACACCCAAGCTAGTGGGGAATGTTGGCTGCTGTCCTCCCACACTTTGGTTTCCTGTATTGGGGTTCCTTGGGCTCAGCTATTCAGATTCAAGGGGTTATTATCTGGTGGAAACAGCCCAACCTAATTTAGGGGAGGGTAGCACAGGGCAGACCCACTGGCACGTTCCTTCCTTCGCCCTTTAGGGCTCACTGCTGCAAACATCCCCGAGCCCTTGCTCTAGGCCAGACTTGGTATAGGCTATGGAGATCACAGATTTCTCAGGCGTGGGTCCTGGAGGCCTTAAGTTCCAAGTGCAGTGCTGAGCACCGGGGGCACAGAGTGTCCATGTCAGCTCCTGGGCTCTTTCTATCTGATAGAGGTGGGAGGCCCTTTCTGGGTCCCTGTTCCATTCCAGATCAGACTTGGGCCTGACAGCATTTCCAGCTCCTGGATATTAAGTGATTAGCTCTGGCTGGTCCAACCACCAGAGAGTGCCCGGGACCTCCTTGCAGCCCAGCACAGGGCCATCCCCAGCCCGCTGACCCGGAATCAAGGGTAGCCTTTTGTCCTGCCATCCCATCCCACCCAACTAGCCTTCACACGTGCCCCATCCTTGGAGTCTCAGGATAAAGGCCTGGGTCCCACCCCATGGCAGCATCAAACTGGGTAAGACAGCTTTCAGATCCTGGCTCTCCTACTTGGTCTCTTATCTAAGGTACTGTATTGAACTTCTCTGGGGCTCAATTTTTCCATATGTAAAATGGGCACATCTTCCTAATCGGCTCATGGTCAACAGTGTCCCAAGGGTAGTGCTGGCTTACATGAAACCCTCACCCCTGGAGATTCCAGGCTATTCTCAAGTCTACAGCCTCAGCAAGGAAATGGAGTCCGACACACTGATCCTATGATACAAGCCCCACCAATCGTTAATGCAAGTTTTTATTTGGCGGTATATACAATTTAAGCTATTAAAATTTGTACAATATTTACAAATTAAATAATCATCTGAAACTGTCTCCAGCAACTCTTGTAACACAAAACTGAGGGAGAAAAGACCGGGGCAGGCAGGCCTTGGCTCCTGTGGTCCCTCCCTGGCCCCACAGCCTTTTCTAAACTGGAAAGACCAGGAGCCTGGCACTCTGCTTCTCTTTCTGGAGTTTAAGCATTCAAATTCAAAAGACAAAATTTAAGCCAAAAGACACACTAGCAAGGAACTCCAATCCTAAACTCAAGAAAAGTTCTGCAAGTTGAGAAGTGGCCTTCCTTGGATTCTGGGGTCCGCAGTGGTTAAGGAGCAGGCACACTAGCCTTCAGCCTGGAGCGCGGCTGGGCAGTGGCTGCTGGGTGAGACGGGTCAGTCTCACCTAAGAGAAGCTGCAAGGGAAAGGGGCCTAGGGGGAGGGGAGGGGCAGGGTCCCTCAGTGCTGCCCGCCTGCCCCCCCACCCCCAGGCACTCCTTTCCCTGAGTTGTGTGGTTGCCAGTAAGACGTGGAAATGCCACAGGGCATAGGGGGCACAGCCACCACCACAAAGGGCTTCTGGGGAGATTAGGGTAAGAAAAGGAAATCAGTACCAGTCTTGGTGGGTGGGCCAGGGAGCAAGTGCCTGGCCTGCCTCCAGCCCCTCTGAGCCCACACTTGGGAATGGGAGCTAATACTGTTCGGCACTGCAGCGTGACTCCGCACAAACAAGCAGGGCTAGGAGGGGCTGCCCCTTCTCCCAGAAAGCAGTGGGGGAAGAGGGCTTCCCAGAGGCTGAACTTTCTGCCTTCATGGCCCCAGCTGGGCCCCAGCAGGACACAGGGCTGGGGAGTTAGAGAGGAAGGCTGGAACTGCCCCCCACAAAAGCCCCACAGCTGCCAGGGATTCTGAGGGCTGGAGTCAACTGGGAACTCAGGCCTCTCTGCACTTGGCCTAGGGGATGCCGCCTCCTTTTCCTCAGAGCTGGGGGTTACTACTCCCTGGTGCACATAGAGGGAGCTGGCACTTGGTGGCAGGACATGTTCCAGCGAGTGCTGCTCAGGAGAGCAAGGGCAGGGGCCAGGACTGGGGCAGTGTCAGTGGGCAACAGGGGACTCCAATTTCTGCAGGCGGCGGCGACGCAGCTCTGCAGCATCGGGCTCTCCATCCTCAGGCAGCTCCTCGGCGCCCACTGACTCAGGAGCTGGGGACACAGAGGTCAGAATGGAATTCAGGGAAGTCCCCTGCCCCACCCCTCCCCCGGGGGGCTGATCACACCTACCTGGAGGCTTTTCAGTTTCAGAGGCTGGTGGGGAGGCTCCTGGGGATGGGGTGGTGGCCTCGGAGCTGGGGATGCTGGTGGAGGAGGCAGCAGTGACAACTGGGGGGGCAGTCTCCTCAGTGGGGTTAACTGAAGTGGCAGTCCGGGGGGGCCTGGGAAGAGAAGGGAGGAGAGGTGGGCCTGGCTTTGGCATCCTGGCTTGGGCAGCTTCTCCTGCCCTTGGTGAGCCTTGCAGGACAGAGTCTAGACTGATGTGCCCCTGCTGCCCCAGTGACCAGCAACACAAGTGAACACGTGTTGAATGAACCCTCAAGGGCCAAGTGGTTCTGTCCCCTAGATTGTGAACCACCTGTAGGCATGGGACTGTTAACCTGTTCACTTTTACCCTGGAGTGTCAGGCCCCTTATAGGGGACCCACTATATAAGTCCCAGAGCACTCAAGCCTTGGACTCCAGTTCCTCTCCAAGCCTGTGCTGTCATTACTAGGTGCCAGGCACTGGGCACTTGTCAATTAAGAAGAGCACTTAAGGGGAAGGTGTGGAGTGGGGGTTATGAGACGAAACCTGTTGGGTACAGCGTACACTGTTCAGGTGATAGGTATATTAAAAGCTTAGACTTCTCCACTATGCAATTCAGCTATGTAACAAAAACCACTTGTACCCCCTAAATCTACTTAAATAAAAAATGAAAAAAAAAAACAAAACAGCCCTTACAACCCTTCTATTCTGATGAAGTAATGGAGGTCACAAAGCAAGTGAGTGATGAAACCAGCACCTGGACTTGGGCCAGGATGGCTCCAAGTGACTTCCTATTATTTGCTCCCTCAGTTCACGGGCAGCAATTCTCACAGTGTCACCATACCTGAGGGTGTCATGTGTTGAACTAATAAAGCACTGCGGATTCTGCATAATTTGCCTTTGGAAAAATACAAAGGCACAAGATTCGAGGTCAGCTCTCTAATAAACACCACTGCTACTTAGATCAGACATGCCTTGTGGAGTGGGAGGATGAAAAGGCACCAGGAGTCACCAAGAACTCCTTGAAACCCTGGGTGGGCCTGGACAGGTGGCCTGAATCAGCAGGTGTCACAGGGTGGCAGGAGAGCCAAAGGCTGAGAACCACTGCTGGGGACCTCTTGGCAGCTCCGCTCCCCCGCAAACCCATCCCATGACCCCACACAGACGCACCCCAAGGAGGCCAGCACAGTGAGGTACTGGTTGATCTGCAGCATGGCGGCGTCCAGCAGCGTGTGGATGTTGCGCAGGCTCTGCAGCCGGGCCTCCAGGTGCTGCCGCTCGTGGCCCTCCAGAGCTCGCAGCTCCTCCGGCGTCAGTCCGGCAAAGCCCGCAGGGGGCACAGGCATTGGGGGGAAGGCTGGAGAGAGGCAGAGGCTCAGTCTGGGCTGCCTGGGCCTGACACCACCCCAGCCTCCAGAACAACCTGGGGAGTAGCCCAGCTTACCAAAGGGTGGAGGCAGGGGCATACCCATCCAGGGAGGTGGGAAGGGGAAGCCTGGGGCAGGGCTGGCCTCTGGCGCAGAGCCAGAGCCAGGTGTTGGGGCAGAGGCAGCACTGGTGCCAGCAGCTGTGGTTGTTGTGGCTGCTCCACTGGGCCGAGAAAGGGCTGCTAAAGCAAGAACAAGCAGTGACTGTTGCTGGGCCTCTCGCTCCATCCCTGCCACCCCCTGGCTGTCACAACACCCAAAAGGCTCACCTGCACTAGTGGATGGAGGGGCCGCAGGCTCTCCTGAGCTGGGGGGAGGTGGGACAGGTGGAAAGGGGCCCATGGGAGGCCACAGCGGGAACATGCCTGGAGGAAAAGGAGGCAGGAGGCCCTGGGGGACTGCAGAGAAAGGACAGAGTGGTGAGAAAAGGGCCGAACTGAGATAGACCCAACTCCCAGGCAGCAGGCTTGGCTACTCAGAGCTCTGTCCTCTTCCCATAGGCCCCTGCACTTAGCACTTGTCGCGACAGCAAGCATCTATTTCTTATTTTTTCACCCCACTCCGGCTCTGACTGTGGGATGCTGGAGGACAGGGACTCTGATTCCCCAGCATCTCCCGCACCCAGACCAGGGCAAGTACCCAATGGTGTACTGAATGGATAAATGAGGGGACACTCACAGTTAGGGGGCTGGGGCAGAATTGGTGGGGGATGGGGGGCAGGGGGTGGCCCCTGATCCGCAGGCTCTGGGGGCGGTGGTGACTGGGCTGGTAGCGATGCCCGCAGGACATCCATACGGCAGGTAGGGCAGGTCTGCTGCCGCTGGAACCAGGAGCGCAGGCAGCTACGGGTCAAGACCAGGCAGTGGTCAGTAGGTCCCTAGGGGCCTGCCTGCGGGGCCTGTGCCTTGATGTGCAGGCTCCCTGGGGCTTCTCCCACCTGGTATGGAAAATGTGGTTGCAGGGCAGTCTCTTGGCACCAGTCACCATCTCTTCTCGGCAGATGATGCAGACGTTGTCCATTGCCTGGAGTTCCTCTGGGGTAGCATCTGGATACCTGGTTAGGATGCAGGGATGTGTCAGGTCCAGAGCTGGAAGCAGGGGGACCTGGGGCAGAGCTTGGGAGAACAGCCAAGAGAAGCCTACTTACAGTGTGTTCATGTTGCGGATGGCTCGGCGAGACATGATGGCATCTGTCACAGCTTTCTTGAACTGTCTGAAAGGACAGTCAGTGAAAAGAGGAAAAGGGGGGGAGGGGTCGGGTCGGGAGGGTGGAGGGACAGGGCTGAGCTCACCTCATGGCCAGGTACATGGGCCGGATGGCAAAGAGTGGGAAGGTGTGCACCTTGATCATGATGGTCATGAAGGCCATGTACAGCAGAACTTTGATGAAGCCTAGGGGAGGGATGCACAGGGCAGCAGGTCACCGGGTCTGGCAGGCAGAGTGGGGGATGCTGGTCCAGGTCAGAAGAGGCTCAGGCTCCTCTCACCTGTAAACAGCTCTGTGTAGAGCATGTACACGGCCTTGTTGTCCCAGGGGTTCTCGCTCTGGAGGTCCACGGAGTGCAGCACATACTTGATGAAGATGGTAAGCACCATCGTCATCAGGATGGCGTACTGAAGGAAGAGGGGGATGCAGGGACATAAACACACAGTTCCCCTTGCTGCAGCCACACTCTGCTCCACCCAGGCCTGTGTACAGCAGGGTGCAGTGGTACAAGCACAGGCTCTGGACACAGCCAGAGCTTCCGCACTCACTAGCTGTGACTTTATCGGCAACTCACTGAATCTCAGTTTGCACGTCTGTACGTGACAGAATTAATTGATCCTTTATAGCAGTGTTGTCTTGCTGATGAAGAGATGTGGGTCAGGAGCTCAACACAGGGCCTGGCATATAGTAAGCACTCAACAAATATGAGCTATTGGCCAGACACGGTGGCTCATGCCTGTAATCCTAGCACTCTGAGAGGCTGAGGTGGGAGGATCACTTGAGCTGAGGAGTTCGAGACTAACCTGAGCAATAGCAAGACCCTGTCTCTAGCAAAAATAGAAAAATTAGCCAAGCATGTTGGCACACGCCTGTAGTTCCAGCTACTTGGGGGGCTGAGGCAGGAGGATCGCTTGAGCCCAGGAATTTGAGGTTACAGTGGGCTATGATGAGGCCACTGCTCTCTAGCCTGGGAAGACAGAGCAAGACTGTCTCAAAAAAAAAAAAACAAAAACAAAAAAACCCAGCTGTTGTCACTGAACACATTCTTCCTCTACCAGGGACTCGCCTCCCCAGTTTTCCATCAAGCTAATTCCCTCCTGTCCATCAATACCCAGCTCTGGCATCAGCCTCCAGGAAGCCTTCCCTGAGCCCCAGGGTGGGGCTCCTCCTCCCTTCCAGCCTGTTTTTGTACTCTTCCCTGATCGCCTAGGGGTGAACGTGCGAGGGCAGGGGCCAGATCTGACTGATCAATGCTCTTTGGTGGCAGCATGGGCTGGCCACGTAGCAGGTGCTCAGGCACGTGCAGTGCCACCTCAGGCTTGTACCCCCAATCTCCCAAGCCAGTTTTACCTCAAAGCCAAACACCAGCTGCACAGAAGCCCCACGAGTCAGGATGCTGTGATAGGCGTGGCTGACGAAGAGGAAGTCCAGGATACCCAGGAGGAACATAAGGGCTGTGGGGACCCCCCAGATGGGGGTGGGTGGGGTCAGCCCAGAACCTGACAGCCATTTCCTACACTAGGGACAGCCCCAGCCCCAAACCCACCATGGCCCCAGCCATCTAGTCAGGCGGGCACACTCCACTAAACCTGGCCCTCTGGGAACGCCCATTTTGCCTGGGGGGTGGTCACTGGGGCTGCCCAAGCTCCAGGTGAGGAGGCAAAGAGCTACGGGCCTAGGCAGCTGAGAAGCCCTGGGGTGGAACGGGACAGAGATGATGCAAATTAACTTCCTAAATTATCTTTCCTGTACAGCTGTGGGCTGAGGGGGCAGCCTGTGCTCTGGGGCGTGGGTCCATGCCTAGTGACTGTTCATGGTCCGGTCCTCCATGGCGCCTCTCCTCCCTTCGGCCCCCTCCCCCCATGAGTCTCACTCACAGACAATGCGGCAGTGAAAGAGCCAGGAGATGTTGGGGCTGCGTTCCATCTGAGGCAGAGCAGAGAGGGGGCCTGTCAGGAAGGCGGGGGCTCACCCCACAACCCCAACCCAGACTGCACGGCCCCCCAAGCCTGCTCCAGGGAACCCCCTGACCCGACTCACGAAGTCCACACGGTCCTCCGCCAGCCAGTGGAAACATTTGAGGAAGAGAAGGAGAGTGAAGAGCGCAACAAAGCGGGGGCTGAAGTCGTCCCGGAAAACGGTGAAGGCCAGACAAGTTTCAGTGACGGCGTACCAGGAACGTTCCAGGAGGTGCTGGGGGTCAGGCAGGGAAGGATATGGAATCAAGACATGATGCTTGCCCCGTGCCCTGCCCCTCACCTTTGGGGCAGCCAACCTCTTACCTCCATCTCTGCTGCCCTCAGCTGCCCAAAGAACACCTTGCCCATCACCTTGCCCAGGAGGAAGACAAGGACAAAGGCCTGGATGTACAGGACCTAGGAGTAGGGAGAGGCTATGGTTTGAAGTCACTTTCTGCTTTCCTCTGCCTGGGGCTCATCATTGAGGAACCTCCCATGCCCATCACAGTTTATTTAAAGTTAGGCAGCTGGTGTCTACTTCTCTCCTCCCCTCCCTACCTGACCTGTAGCCCCGCCCCTGTCCCTGGCAGACTCCTCCTTCCCTCTCAGGGAGTTACTCCGTCCCTGAGCCCTGAACTCACAGCCATGCTGGGGCTGGACTTGGTCAAGTACACCACAGTGGGGTAGAATTGGTGTTTGAGGTAGTAGGCGTGAGCCACCACGGCCCCCGTCAGCGCCAGGCTGGCCGCCATCATCACTGCGGTGCGGAACATTGCCCTGGCCCGGAGACCTGCATGGGGAAAGAAAACAACAGAACTTATGTGATGCTCATACTGTGCAAACACAGCACAGTGCCTGGCACCGCGTCAATAAATAGGAGAAAGGGGGGAAAATCACATTTCACCCTCACAATCATCAAATCAAGAATAGTACATGCTCCCCCATTTTACAAATAAAACTGAGACTCAAAGGGGTTAAGTGATCACACTGACGCAAGGCTTGGAACCTAGGTTAGTCTTGTTTCGAATCTAGGGCTCTTTCCACGCTGCCTGCCAAACCGCCTCCTCTAGGGAGGCAATGAGGAAAGGCAGCAACGTCGGAGGAGGGAGGAACTGCCACCACTGACCCTCGAGTGAAGGTGCTGGGATGGGGGGGCTAAAGCAGAAATCGGCTCCAGGAGCGGGAACGCGGTCTGGGAAGGGAGAAGCTAAGGCGAAGGGGGCCGCAGCCTGGGTAGGCTACAGCGCCGGTGACAGCTGTGCCAGGGTGGGCAGCTCGGACGCGCGCCCCACGGAAACGAGCTAGGTACGTCAGCCTGGAACCCTGGCGCCCCCCAACCCCCAGGGCAGTGTCAAGTCAGGGCCCTGGAGAAACGGCCGACCGCAGGGTGCAGTGACGGGGCAGAGTGGAACCCGGGCTCCTTACACGGCCGCGCACCTGTGAGCACCAGGAGTTGCGAGCGTCGCAGGCGGGGCCCTGCCTTTGGGAGAGCGGCCGCCCGGGCGCTCCAAGTCTACCACCAGCTGACAGGCCGAAAGCGGGCGTCGGGACTGAGGGGGCGCGCCGATCCCGGAGACCTCCAGGGGAAAGTCTGGATCCCGACCCCAACCACAACCCGGGCTAGACTTCGTCACACTCACCAGGAGCCCAGCGCCGCGAGCCCGCTCAAACCCCGCGACTGCGGCGGCCGCTCGGGTTAACAGCACTCCCCACCCCCTGCGAACCGGAACTTCAGGGGTAAGACACCTCACTTCCGGCGGCGCGGGGCGCGGCGTGGGTCGTACCAAAGGCGTCCTCCCCGCCCCCGCAGCTCGCAGCGTTCCCTGCGGGGCCGGAAGTGGCCGTTTCTGTAGCGAATCTGTGCTTAGTGCCCACGAGGACTGGCTGAGCAAGAGACGCGAGAGGTGGTCGGAGCGGAGTAAGGGGGCGGAGGGAGTCGAGTCCCCCTGTTTATTAGTCACAGATGGTATGGCCTGGACCGCTGGGTGGCCTCAACCTAGTCGTGGGGGACTCCGGTCGCAAAGCGGCTGGAAGGTGGAGCGTGAGCGCGCCGTACCACTTGGAGGGGGAGTGTGCAAGGGACAGACTTTATAGGCAAGGGGAGTAAAATGTTTTAGAGCCTCATTCCAGGGATAGTCACAACAGTTTCTCTGGACAAGGTGTTCTCTGGGAGAACTGCACACAGGAAACAAAAATTTGTCTTTTCCATGATCCCTGCCCGTGTTGAGTGGGAGTGAATTGGGTCCCGTGTCTGTCACTGATTGGTTGCGATAAAGTTAAGCGGACCAATGAGGAAAAGAAAGGAAATTTGCTGGCCTATAGAAAGAGAAGAGCAGGTGAGTGGTTGCTAGAGGCGGAAGGCTGCGTTGCCTAGGACTGGGTCCTACCCCCGTTGGCTGATAGTAGCGAAAGTGCAGTCCGTGGGCAGGTGATCCTTGTCCGGCCTCGGGGAACATTTGCTGCGCCGCGAAAGGGAAGGGCAGCCAGGTGTACCCAGCACCGAGGAGAAGACAGACCTTTAATTTTTGCTCATCTTGGGCGAGGGTGTTGTGTGCAAAGGAATTGACTTAAGCGCCACATGCCTGCACCCGTCTCCGTGCCTACAGTTTTGCTGGCGTTGTATTGTTTAGCCCTTGGGCCATAGCCAAGACCCCCATGGTCCTGAGCTGTCCCGTAATTCAGTTTGTGTCTGGGTCGTAGCCATCTCAGTACGCTTATTGAGAGAATGGTGCTAATGCATCCACTTTGTGCCTTGCGTTTTCCGCCGTCATCTCATGTAACCATCAGTCACCAACGTTTGTGAGCTAGGTGGTGCTGTCCCCATTTTAAACGTGGTACCTCTGAGGTTCAGAGGCTTAACCAGACCTCTGCTAGGATTGGCGCCCGGTGTGACTCTAAATCCCCGAGCTATTGTTCTTAGCCACCTTCCCCACCACCTGTTGACCTGGCAAGTTCAGCTTGTAAAGAGTTACTGAGCTGCCTTCCACTCCCATAAGGCCATCTGTGACTTTCTAGTGACTACATTCAACGATCAGCTTTCAGTCCTTGCCTGACTCAACCTCTCTCCCCTTCTTGAAAGTCTCCTCCCTAAGCGTCTGTGACCCACACGACCCTACTTTTCTCTTTTCTCTCTGGCTATGCATCCACCCCCTTCCTCTGCCCATCCCTTTATTTAAATGTTGGTGTCCACGTTGGCCCCTTCTCTTTACCTTTCCTGCATGATTTCCTCTGCTCCTGTGGATTCAACCCCCCACCCAGAGCCTGATGACTCCCAGCTGGGTCTCTCCTGCTTTTGAAACAGTTCAGTGCGCCTAGACACCATCCACACCCCAGCTCCAGAAACCTGGGCATCATGTTCACTGTGTTCCTCTCCATCTGCTCCCACATCCAAACTGGTAATTAAGTCGTTTGTTCAGTTGATTAGTCTACAAATATGTATCAGCTGTCTCTCCTGTTCTAGGGACTTGGGATGTCAGTGAACAAAACAAAGATCTCTGCCTTTGGGGAGATTATCGTAGTAGATGTGATAAGCCACCAAATCATAGACATAATGCGAGTGAAAAATCTAATATGTTGGAAGGGAATAAGTGAAAAATCTAATATGTTGGAAGGGAATAAGGGAAAAAAGTAGAGCAGAATAAAGGGGATCAGGAGTGTGGTGGAGTGTTCAAAGCAGGTTGCAGTATCAGCAAGGATAATGGGGTAAGCCTCCTTGAGAAAGTGACATTTGAGCAAAAACTCGAAGGAGGTAATGGCATGAGCCAAGTGGATGTCTGGGTAAGGAGTTGCAGCTAAATAAAGGTGGATTAGCCCCGGTGTGTTGAAAGAGGGCAGTGTGGCTAGAGTGGAACTAGTAGTAGGAGAGGAGGCCAAGGCCAGATTGTGTTGGCCATTACTGGGACTTTGGCTTTTACCCTGAGTGACATGAGGAGCCATTGGACAGTGCTGAACAGAGGTGTGGCATGCTCTAGCTCCAGTGTTGGAATAGTCTGTGATAGGATGGAGGGCAAACATGGGAGCAGGGAAACCAGTTAGGAGGCTCTTGCAGTGTGTTAGGCAAGAGAGGAAGTCCTGTTGACTCTATCTCCTGAGTGTCTCTAGAATTTATTCTTTCCGTGCCATCTCCACTACCACTGCGTCGTAGTACAGACCATCATCATCTCATGCCTGGGTAAATGCAACAGCCTCCTTTCCATACTCTCCTCCTTATTTACTATCCATACAGTGGCCAGAAAGATTTTCTGACACCTCAGCTCACATATTGCCTTCCCTCCCCACACTCTGTCCTTCAGGCATAATGCCCTGTTTGTGGGGGCCTCAGGTATACCATGCCTTCTGTGCCGCAAGTGGGCCCATCACCTTTTGCATAAGTCTTTCCTCTTCCCAGGAACATCTTTCCCCTCAAGGATCATCACAAGAAGCATTGCCTAATTTCTCAGGCTGAGTGGGGCCTCTTCCCACAGTGCTCTGTGCTTTCTTCACACTTAGTACCCTGTGTTGGCATTGGCTAGATTTAAGTCCATAGCCAATGCCAACACAGATTACCCACACCAAACTCAAGGATGGAGTCCTGAGTCTTTTTATCTCACACAGAGCAGACAAGTCAATTTCTGAGCACAGACTATTACCAGTGTTAAAGAAGGTCATTTTATAACAATAAAGGGGTCAGTTAATCAAGAAGACATAACAGTTCTAAACACTTATGCATCTAATAACAGAGCGTTCAGTTACCAGAAACAAAAACTGAACTTCAAGGAGAAATAGACAAATCCATAATAATAGGCAAAGATTTCAATAATCCTTTCTCAATGATAGAAAAAGTAGACAGAAAATCAGCAAGGATATAATAGACTTGAGCCACACTATCAACCGTCTTGATCTAATTGATGTTTATAGAACACTTCACCCAACAACAGCATAACACATGCTTTTCTTAAATGCATGCAGAGCATTTACCAAGACAGACCATACTCTGGGATATAAAACAAGACTTAATAAATTTAAAAGAATTCAAGTCACATAAAGAATATTCTGCTGTGGCCACAGTGGAGTTAAATTTGCAATCAATAACATAAAAATTCCTTAAAATCCCCAAATATCTGGAAACAACACATTTCTGAATAACTCAAGGATCAAAGAAGAAATAGAGATAGAGTTTTGCATTGTTGTCTAGTCTGGAGTGCAAAGGCATGATCATAGCTCACTATAATCTTGAATGCCTGGGCTCAAGCAATCCTCCTGCCTCAGCCTCCCAAAGCACTGGAATTACAGGTGCAAGCCCCTGTGCCCATCCTCTTAGAAACTCTTTTGAACCCAGTGAAAATGAAAACACAATGTATAAGAATTTGTGGGATGCCATTAAAGAACTATTAGAGGCCCGGTGCGGTGGCTCACGCCTGTAATCCTAGCACTCTGGGAGGCTGAGGCGGGCGGATCGCTTGAGCTCAGGAGTTAGAGACCAGCCTGAGCAAGAGCGAGACCCTGTCTCTACTAAAAATAGAAAGAAATTGGCCAAACAACTAAAAATAGAAAAAATTAGCCGGGCATGGTGGCGCGTGCCTCTAGTCCCAGCTACCTGGGAGGCTGAGGCAGGGGGATCACTTGAGCCCTGGAGTTTGAGGTTGCTGTGAGCTAGGCTGACGTCATGGCAC